TAATCGCTTATCTATGTATCTTGATTTGTATCTCTCAGAATATAAAGAATCAACCCTATAGTCTCACTCCTTAAAGTAAACTTAACTTGCGTGTCTTTCTTATATAAATCTACCTCTTTACCTACCTATGCAACACAAAGGTCAAAGGTCACAGGTCACTCACCACAGCACACGTGAGTCTTCCCCGGAGTCTGGCAGTAACGAGAGCACTTGTGGCTCGCCATGGCTGCCACGACGCAGGCAGCGAGAAGGACAACGAAGCGAAGGCGCAACTGCAATGCAAGTTCATGTTAGGATCACAAGTTCCTGTTCGGATCACTTATAAATTATACCAGATGCAAAGAGAAGCCAAACAGATCGGGATCGCTCTCAGTGCATATTTCGAAGGAAAATTAACATTTTCTAAAGACTGAAGTTATCCAGGTTAACCATAATAAAGCTTTAGAGAATTCATTAAAAATAAATAAATAAATAGATCGACGAAATAGAAAATAGATAATGAATAAAGATAAAGTCATCTTGGAGAGCAGCCAACCATCGCGTAGAATCAGAATGTGTCGTGTCTACAGGAGGCTGCAGGACGAACTGTTGATGCGGGCAGGAAACGGGCTTTTTATAGGCCTCCAAAGTGCGTGCAGTTGCCAGCATAGCCAGTGGCAACAGCATGAAGGTGAGCCGTCAGTGCTGTTGCTGACCGCAGGCATGTTGACAGCTTAACTTCATACATGCATACATACTGAACTACATAAACATGCATAGAAGACACAGACACACACGCACACGCACATATCTATATATTTACTTTTCCATTTGTTTATCAATCTATTTATCCATCTGTCTATATGTATACACACGCATATATTTATATATTATGTATATACATATATATACACAGTATATTGTATGTGTGTGTATTTAAGTGTATACACACACATACATTCACGCAGGAAATGAAACGAGATAAATTCGGCCTCTTCAACCCCGTGAAGTGAGGTGGTCTTGCATTATTCTTTCTGAAGGTCACGTTGCTTGCAGGCGAGCTTGAATCAGCGCGAGGATACGCTTTCAAAATGAAATTCTCCTACTTCGCTTTTTAAAAATATGATAATTCTGTGTTTAGCCTTGTCTTGCCTGTATACATCTATGTACGTATATATTTTGTTTCTCTGTTCGTTTGTTTTCTCTGTTCTAATTTCTTCTTTGGTTTTCTTTTTGTCTTCCTGCTTATCTGCCTTTTGTAAATATTTTGATTAGATCTGAGTTTAGCCTTGCCGTGACTATATCCTTATCTATTTTGTTTTTATCCTTCTATTTTTTGGTATCGGTCTCTTACGTTTCTAATCTGCTTCCATTCTTATCTTCTCTTTCATTTCTCTTTTTATTTATCTTTCTTCACGTTTTCTATTTGTTTTCTCGAACTAATCCCTTTTATATTCATTTTACTTAGCATTTGTGTTGGTGTCTTTTTCTTCTTCATTTCTGTTGTTTGTTTTGCCTTTCTTTTATTCTCTCGATGTAATAAAACAATAACAAAATATCTAAATCAATTTACTATGGGAATAAGGTAGAGGTATTATAGAATAAAGCCAGTAAAAACTAAGTTGTAAAGATAATTCAGGCTAAATAGAAGTGATGAAATTGTATATTTACACACACACACACACACACACACACACACACACACACACACACACACACACACACACATATATATATATATATATATATATATATATATATATATACATATATATACATATATATATACATATATACATATATATATATATATATATATATATATATATATATATATATATATATATATATGAAAGATGGAATAATACATTACCGTTTTTTTCATGAATATTTTAACCAGACCACTCGAACAACGACCCACTAAAATGAGTGAGCAACTAGGAGCTTACTAGCATCCAAAGAGATTACTTACTTCCTCATTCATGAGGAAGGATAACGATGTGTGTGAGTGCCTGTGTGCGTGCGTGTGTATACATATCTATTTATATATTTACTTACACACACACACACACATATATATACATATACATACGTACACACACACACACACACACACACACACACACACACACACACACACACACACACACACATATATATATAATATAATATATATATATATATATACATATATATATATATACATACACACACACACACACACACACACACACACACACACACACACACACACACATATATATATATATATATATATATATATATATATATATATATATATATATATATACAGACACACGTATATATAAAACATATATGTATATAAGTATTTTACGGCCATGAGCTTGTTTAAAATTAAGTAATCATGAATGAATATTCCATATAAAAGAAAAGAAAGGATAACGTAAATTCGTGAACAAAAACATGAATGATATACGCGGGGACAAACGAACACAATAATTGAATAAATTGACGTCTATTTACTTACTCTGAGAAAAAAAGATAAAACATAACAAATTTTGCAATGTGAGGACAATAATGATATGATAGAAAAAACACAAATATGACAATATACCAATTAAAAAATGGTTAAAGCAGGGGTATGAGATGTGAGTTACGAGTGTGTGTTACGTAAGTTTGGTCTCGGTGTGTGATTTTGTTTCTTGTGCTTTTAAAGCAGTGGCTGGCAGAAAGAAATTTTGTTAGTGTATTAATGATGTGTGTTCAATAAGAAAACAGCAATTCATATGTAAAGTGTGGGCAGGTATATGGAGGGCAATAGTTAATAAAATACACTTACTTTAATAGTGGTGAGGAAGTATTGGTGGTGGAGGGTAGAAGTGACATTATGGCTGTGCTGACGAGGGTTTGCAAAAAAGTGACGAGGCAGGTGAGCCAGATTAGCGTGTAGTGCGAGAATATATTCAGCAACTTCGTCAGGAGAGTAGCACACGCATGAGTAATCAGCACCTAGTAGGGTAAACATGGTGCGTGTCGGCATGGGTTAGAAGAGTTCGGCCGAACGAGAAGCTCGTCCTCACCGACTCTCTCTCGCAGTCTTGCTCCGTCGACAGCGACTGTCCCCGGGACGAGAAGTGTTGCGAAGACACTTGCAATGCAGGGAAGATCTGCATTTCAGTGCACGGTCTGAGACACTAGTTCTGTTACAATTTTGGTTGCAATGGACTCTCTTTGGCAATCGTTTTTATGGAAGGATGATGGTATTACTTCTTTTCATTAGAAATTAATTTGTACATGAGGCTTTTTGGCTAGTAAACATTAATGTATATAAATATGCAAATTCTCTTTTTCTGTATATATATACATACACAGACATGCATATACATATTTATGTGTGTGTATAAACATATCTATATATGTATGTATATATACACATTCATATATATAAATATATATATATATATGTGTGTGTGTGTGTGTGTGTGTGTGTGTGTGTGTGTGTGTGGATGTGTGTTGTTCTCATTGCAATTTGTTCGACATGAATTCCACACATATGTGTATGTTTACGTATATTTGTATGTATATGTATATATATATATATATATATATATATATATATATATATATATATATATATATACCTACACTTGTGTGATTGTTCACATACACACACATATATGTATATATATACTCAAATATGCAGTTATATACATGTATGTATATTTATTATATATGATATATATATATATATATATATATTGTGTGTGTGTGTGTGTGTGCGTGTGTGCATGCACGAACGCAGTCGTGTATCACAGTAGTTTTCGACCAGTAAGCTATTTCAAGGAATTATAAATGATCAACGAAATTGCAATCCGGTTAATTGGTGAAAACGCTTTTGCAAATTTCAGAAGATATATTACACCAACAAAAGAGAGTTCTTTCTTTTAGCCACAGAGAAAGGAAGAGAAGAATCAGTGAAAAAAAGAAGCAGATAACCCAACATCTGCAGCTCTTGAGCAGTCGGCCCACTGCATATATATTCATGTGTGTATATGTGTTTTAGTAATGTACACACTGTTTATTATTAATAATAATAATTTCTGCTTTCCAACATCATGACCTTGCTAAATGCGCACTGGCATCTCCACTCAGGCCGCCTATAAAAAGGCGGATCTTCCCTTCGGTAGCAACACCTTCCTCGGTCCTGCTTGGAGAAACCACTCACCCTCTCCCGTCGCGATGGTTGGTCACGCTCACACTTTGCGTTTTTTACTTATTTCTCAAAGAATGTCGAGCTGATATTTCAAAAGATTGTAGATTTGCATCTTATTATCAAATAGGGAAGTGATTACAATATTTTTATGTTTGTGGACAATTATGATTTATTATATTATTATTATCATTTTAGTTGCACCTTCGTTGTTGTATTTGTGGCTGTGTGCCTCGCTCTGTGCGCTTCAGAGAGACTCAGCTGCAAGAACTATTGCCCTGGCCCCTACGGAGACCAGTACGCATGCTGTGGTGAGTGGAATTCCAACGCAATTTAAAAAATCACTATTCCATGTTAATTATTATTTGTTATCTCATATACTAGATTTCTGTTATAGCTTGCTGTAATTCTTCCTCGTATTCCTGATTACAGTGGATATTCTATCACATTTTGCACTTTTTCCATCCACTTTTTTATCATTCCTTTCGTTAACAAGACCCGAAGCCTGGGACTTGCCCGTCGCCTCCAAGGTGCACCGACATCTTTGACGGCAACGTTCCTGTGAGTAACATTCGCTGATCGTTTGGAAGTTTGGTTCTATATACAGGGATAGAATAGGATGGCTGATATATAGATAGATAAATAGATACTTAGATAAAAAGAGTGACAGATAAGCAAATAGTAAGAAAGTTAGATATGCATACTTATATATGCATACATACGTACGTAGAAAGATAGATGCATAGATAACAAATTGACACACATATAAATATGTATATATATGCACACACGCACACATAGACACACACACATATATATATATATGCATATACATATGCACTCATGTTTATTCATATATCTATCTATCTCTATATACATACACACACACACATATATATATATATATATATATATATATACATATATGTATATATATGTTTGTACGTGTATTTATTTATGTATATGTATTTATCTATATGTATGTATGCAAATGTGTGTGTATATATATATATATATATATATATATATATATATATATATATATATATATACACACACACATATATATTGGAAAGTCTTTAAACCCGACACCGCCTCTCTCTCTCTCGCAGTTTTGCTACGTCGACAGCGACTGTCCCCGGGACGAGAGTGTTGCGAGGACGCTTGCAATCCAGGGAAGATCTGCATTTCATTGCACGGTCTGGGACACTAGTTTTGTTGCAGTGTCGGTTGCAATAGACTCTCTTTGGCAATAAAGTTTATGGAAGGATAATGCTATTATTTCTTTTCATTAGAAATAAATTTGTACATGAGGCTTTTTGGCAAGTAAACATTAATATAAATAAATATAGAATATTCACGTTTCTTTTTCTAAATGTATATACACACACATATATGTATATATATATATATA